TTTTTACAGCAAATTATTAAGGACAATACGACACAAAAAAATTTGACCTAAATTCTTAGTTTTAAAAATCTATTATTTTATAAATATTTAAAGTATGTTATACATAAATAAACAAAATATCAAAAAAATTATCATAAAAATATGGATTATTATTATTTTAATAAAAATGTTTGATATATTTCTTAAATTTATATATGTAAAAGAAAATTATATGTAAAGTATTTTATTTAAACTCTTCTATAGAAAAGTTTTCTAATCGGAAAAAGAATAATTTATTATTAAAAAAAAATTAATTTTAATTTAAATTAATTGATTAGTGATTTTAATTTTAATTGATTAAATAATATAAAGTATTTGAAATTTATCAAAAACTTTAATTTTAAATAAATCTTTAAAACATAATAAAATAGACTTTAAAGTATTATTTGATAAAGAAAATAAAATATAAATATGAACTTAAAAAATTAATAAGATTTTATTATTAATATTAAATGCACTTAATTTTAATCTTAAAATACAATTTTAATTGATTTATATATAAATAAAAATTAAATAAAATAAAAAAAGTCAAACTTTTGATTCTGAAAAAATTTAAAATTTAAAATATTATTATTTAATAAATAATAAAAAAATGACTTAACTTTTATATCACTAAATATATCCTCTGAAAAATGCTAAATTTTAATAATATAAGCCGGTCGGAGTAGATGGAACCACATAATTATACCATCTTTACAAATCTGGTGCAAAAGATATAGTAATAATAGATTCTGAAAATACCAGTTAATGTAAACTGAAACTAGCTTTTAAATCTAAAATTATGCCTTTTACGTTATGATGAATAAAATTAATCCCGAAGTAACATTTATGAAGTCTCTTTTATCTGAAAATCTAGTCGAAAAAGGGTGTTTGTATGTCTGCGAGGAATATTCAAAGTAAAAATTTGAAGAAGAATTTAAATTATTGATTTTTCTAGGTTGTGAATATATCATATTTTGAGAAGAAAAAAAAAATTAAGATTTATCTAAACGTGAATTAAATGAGGGTTTTTTTTTCCTTATGACGCAGTTATTAACTCTTAATAATATGTTTCTAATTTAATTTAATATATATTAAATAAAATTAATTTTCTATTAAAATAATTAAAAATAGTAAATAACTCAACTCTGTTAATTTCTTTACTTAGGGATTCGCTTATGATTGGTGTTTGATGAAAGGACATCTTAGATGTAGTGGAGAAGATTATTATAAAGCGTTAAAATCACCAAGGAAAGAAGACAGATGCACTAGTTTGGTCAAATAAATGGACAGTTTAAAAATTAGCTTATTTAAAAGAAAGGGAGTTTATTTGTGATAAAATATGGGGTTTATTCAGAAACACTAGAACCTATTGTTGGATTATCTTATCCTTAGATTCAAGTTTGTTTTGGCAGAAAGTAATGTAACGTGGAGAAGAGAATATTTTTTAAAATTTATAATAACTATAAAGGATAGAAAAATAATTATTTTTTAACAAATTTATAAAATAAAAGTATTTAATAATTTTATTTATTATAATTATAAAATTTTAAATTAATTATATTTTATATTTTAAAATATATATAAATATATATTTATATATATATTATTTTTTTTATTTATATATAATTATATTTTTTTTTATTTATTTATTAATTTTTTAATAATTAATATAAAACTATAATAATATAATTTTAAATAATTTTAATAATATGTTTAAAGTAAAAATCATAAAAGAAACTTACACTCACTTGATTTATTAAATTTTCATAAATTATTTTTAATAATATAATTATACCCTTTTTTATAATTTTATTTTTTAAAAAAAATTAATTAATATAAATAAAAAAAAATTAAATATAAATAATATATAATATATAAATTATAAAGAAAAATTTATAATTATTATTTTATTTATATATTTAAAAAATATTAAAAATATTAATTTATAAATATAATAATTAATATATTAATTTTAAATACTAAAATAAAAAATTTAAATTCATTTTTTATATTCGATAGAAAATATAAAAACTTAAATAAATTAAATTAATAAAAATAAGAAATAAATAAATATCGTCATTCTATTAAATTTCTTAATTTTTTATTATTAGTTAAATTTTAGACATCCTAATCAGGTATAATATTTTCATTATTAAAGTATTAATCATTAAATTTATTATAAGGTTTAATAAGTTTCCTTCCATCAACACTAAATCCGCAATTTTCTAAAAATAAATATTTACCTTCATTCCCACCATTATAATCCAATCTCATTTATTTATTAGCAGTACCATCCATAGTAAATGTTGCTAATTTAGATTTCATAGGTATCGCTCCTTTTCCAGGTTAACTTTTTGGGATAGCCCATTAATTACCAAAGTAGACTTTTCTCTTCAAATGTCCATATTCAGGACTGAAATTTTCTAAAAAGGAATGAGGTCTTTTAATATAAGTATTAGTATAATTTCTTTAGAAAGAAGCAATTAAAAGCCATTTCAAAGTATCAGGATCATAGAAATAAGCAGTAAAATTAGTTTTATTATCTGCCTAAGGTTAAGCCCTTAACCAGAATTTATAAGTAACATCAACTTTCCAAGGATAAATCATATAACTTTAGCCACCAGACCCTTCTCCTCCGAATTCTTTAACTACAACATCATTTCCTTTTTACAAACAAATTACCTTATTATCAGGCATAATTTCATTTGGATTATCACTTTATTAATTACTCCAGACCGAAAACAAGATTCTTCTTTCAGTTTGGGAATTTACTTATATTCCGAAATAACCTTATGCAAAACCTATAGCCATAGCATATGTTCCTATTTGATCGTTTCCTTTAGGCACAAATACTTCATTATAAAACCATTCGATTTCCTTTATTGGCTCTTCATATGTAAAATGCACAGAAGGACCTCTTCTTCCAAAGTGAGAAGAAAAACTTTTTTTTACATAGTTTAAGTCTAAGTTTGAGCCAGAAACTAATAAAGAAGTTAATGTTGGATAGTTTCCTTTTTGATTATTTATTTAATTATCAGTTCCTTGAAAATTTATTTTCAAATATTGAGGTTCTTATACTGTTATATCAAAGAGAGTAATAACTTTTTGACCTCTTTATATTTAAATAATAAGGGACTTTAAAGTTAAGGGATTGATACTATGATTTCAGCATCACGTTAAACATCTTCCACATTAAGGCTTAAAGTCAATTCACTTTTTTTGTTTACGTAAAAATATATACTTATTATTTATTATTGAGTGCTCCAATTCTAGACTCCCTTTTCAGATATTCTAGGGTTATTATTTTGTCTGGGAGATGTCAAAAAAGAATTCCAACCAAAAGCTACTTCTTCTTGTTAGCATGTAGGAACAATTAAATAAAATAGAGATAAAGTTAGTAAAATTAAAGAAATTTTCATGCTTTTTTTGTTTAATTAAATTTTATTATTATAATTTATTTATTAATATTTGATGATTTTAAAACTGAATTTATAATGTAAATTGATAAAAAATAATTTTAATGTAATTTTTTTTATTAATTTTAATTACTATAATTTATATGTATAATTTTATATATATATAAAAATATATTTATATAATACTTTTTAAAATATAAAAAAATAATAAATTAGTTTATTAGTAAAATAAAAAAGAAAGCAAAATAAGGAGATTAATATCTATTTGTTTTATATAATTAGTTTTTATAAAAAAATGAATTTGAAATAGAAGTATTTTTAAAATATTTATATTTATTTATTGTCAACATTTTAAAAATAATATTTAATTAATTTTTTACCATTATTAATTCTATATCTGATGAAATTTGATATTTTAATTTTAAATTATAAATATAATTAAATATAATTATATATTAATATGAATTAAATATGTGTAAT